TTTTTTTGCTAAATTAACAAAAAAAAAGACCAATAATTTTGAAAAAAAAACCACATTTTTCTTTGTTTCTGTTATAAAAGTTTACAAATAAATAATTGTTCTTCATAAATTTAGGCCGAGATGTATTCTGCTACATGTCTTTGGTGAAAATAACCCAAATTAGGATGTATTTTTTAGTTTGTAGGAAAGTTATAGAGTTCACAAACTATGGTATAGATCTGAAAATTGATCAATCCTGAAGTACTGACAGCCAATCTAATTTCTTGAGGTCCAAGAATGTCAGAACAGTACAGATATCCCCCAAATGACCCCTTTTTGCAGAGTAGACAGTCCGACGTACTTCATAAGAGGCATGGCGAGTTTTTTGAAGTTGTATTTTTATGTCATAATTTTTCGGAAAATGAAAAAATTAAAAAAATTATTTTCACTATTTTTTTTTTTACATACTGTCACCAGTGCAGTACAGCGTCATCATATAACTGGCATGGCGGTTAACAGGGACACTGACTGGTGACAGTATGAAAAAAAAATATATATATTTTTTTAATTTTTTTATTATATTTAATTTTTTATTACATTTTTTTTTTATTTTTTTAAGATTTTTTTTCATATTTTACTATGACCAAAGTAGTACAATGTTACCATAGTAACACTGTACTACTTTGGGGAAGTGATCAGTATTTTTTTTTTTTTTTTTTTACACAATTTGCTTATAGCAAAGAATTACTTTGCTATAAGCAAGCATTTACCTGAATGAAATCGATTCATTCAGCTTTTTTTTTTTTTTTTTTTTTTTGTGCTTAGCTGTGATTTGGTCACAGCTAATCACATGACATGTGCATGTGATTAGCTGTGACCATTCACAGCTAGGCACTAGTATACAATGGATGGCATCATGAATGAAGCCATCCATTGTATACAACTGTCATGTGACCTGCTGTGATTGGTCACAGCAGGTCACATGGTACCGGCAACGGGAGCCGGTACTCGGATCTGTCATCGGCCGTGTCCAAGGTGCACGGCCCGTGACAGATCCCGCTGCTGCGCCGCTCTGCATTACCGCAAACGGCACATGTGCGGGAGCATGCCAAATGGCGTGCACCCGGAATGAAGAGGCACATCTGAAGCCGCCAAACGGCCATTGGCCGGGCGGCTAATGGTTAAAAAGTGTTCCTTTAATTTTTTTTAGCAGTGTATTTTGACTGGAGTTGGCCTTTAATTGTTGCTATGTGTTAAGCAGGAACTTCACCAATTCCCATGAAATTAACCCCTTTACGCCTAAGGGTAGAACAAATCCTAATGCCTATGCACAATTTTGCAACTTTGATGTGTTCATAAAATTGCACAAATCATCACACCTACTTTGTGCATCCAGGTGAATTATACTTTGTTTTTTTCATGACGAATTGGGATTTCATTTGGCGGTGAATGATAATAAATATCTCCTGGATTTTTTTTTTTTTAATTATCAAACTGGCCCAAAATGGTAAAAAAAAATCCTTTTTTTTAATTAGCTGTATATTTCTTGTTATTACCATAACCTACCACCAAAGAACAACCCAAAATAAATTCTCCTGCTCCTGACAATTGCAGTGATACCACATATGTGTATGTCATTTGGTGTTTGTACCCAGTTTACAGCCCAGTGCACACTTTTTGTTTTTTGTTTTTTTTTTTTTTTCCTACCTAAAACACACTGACCCTAACCAACACTGATACTAATTAAAAAAAAAATCCTGCCCAAAATATACTGCCCTTGGCCTTTACTTGACCCAAACACTAACCCTTGAACTGACCTAGATCAAACCTTGATCTAGGTTTTTTTTTTCTTTATTTTTCTTTTCTTTCTTTTTATATTTATATATTAATCGTGCAATGTATCTCTCTCCTCAATTCAGAGAGAGAAAACACAGGGGCGGGCTTCACAGTGACTATTCACTGAGCCAATCAGAGGCTATCACAGCGATCAGGTGACCCAGCGCGCTCCCAGCATAAAGGCAGATATGCAAATATGCGGCCCCACAGCATGAAGCCAAGTGCCTTGAGTCCGCATATTTGTGTGAGGTCGGCATCAAGGGCTTAATGCCATTTATCTTTGATGGTCTTTCATCTTGGAAAAACATACTCACATGGCCAGCAAATCCTGCACTGACAATTTCTCCCCTGCTATTTTTACTTTCTGTGCTGCCTTCTTTGTTTTTAATTCTTCATTGAGAGCTGGCTTTCTTTTCAAGGATCTTGCAGTGAGCCCCTGATGACGTGGCGTCAGATGAAAGATGATTTTTCTGGTATTGTTGGGGAAGTCTCCTGGTATGATATGTGGTGTCAGTATTCCAGGAGAATGCAGGAAAGTTCAAGGCAGCCTAGGCAGGAATGGTGGTAGGAGCAGGCCGACCATGATGATAAAAAAAAAAAATATTTATTTGGTGTGCTTTTTGAGGTTGTGTAGTGAGGAAAGATTGAGAAGTGAAGTTTTCAAGTAGATCCACTTTAATCACAAAGTTGACTATTTGAAGATAAATGTCATTACATATTTTTGTAAACTTCATCCAGTGGAACTCAAGACACATATTTTCTGTGGTTTTGGAAGGGGTGGCCAGTGTTAAAGCGATAGGAAACTTTAAAAAAATTTCCAAAGATGTCATACTTACCTGCTCTGTGCAGTGGTTTTGCACAGGGCAGCCCCAATCCCCCTTCTTCTTGCATCCCCTGCTCGTGCTCCTAGCTCCTTCCCCTTAACCAGTGGCCCCAATAGAAAGTCGCTTGCTATGGGGGGCACTGGTGTGGGCTCACTCCCAAGCCCTGCTCTATGCATCTATATGACATGTAGAGCTACAACTCAGCCCCGCCCCCCTCTCACTTCATTGGCTCACTGGGTTTGCTTGACACAGAATGTTTTTTACCTTCATGCATAGAAAAAAAACGTCAGCCTTTACAATCACTTTAACCACGTGCCGCCCAGCCACTGTATAAATACGGCGGCAGGGCAGCACGGCTGGGCAAAAGCACGTTTTAAAACAGGTAGGGGGCGCACGCGAGGCTCGCCGCCGCCCTACCTGTCCCACCGATCACAGCCACGGATGTCAGTCGCCGGGTCACAGCCGGTCGTTACCGGCTATGTCCCGGCGATCGGCGGCAATCGCTGACAGAGAGCACAGCTGCAGTAGCTGTGCTTTCTGTCAGTTCACTGACAGCTCCAGGACACGCTGATCGGGACAGAAGAGTTTCTCTCTCCCAATCAGTGGTGTTCCCTGCAGTACACACCCTTGCCCCCTAGTAAAACACTCCCCTCACACAGTTAACCCTTTCCCTGAATAATAAACTTAACCCCTTCCTCCCCAGTGCCATTAGTACAGTGTCAGTGTTTTTTTTTTTTTTTTGCACTGATCACTGTATTGGTGTCACTGGGGATGTCAGTGACCCCAAGTCAGTTCCCCCCCCAGTGTCAGAATGTCCGCCGCAGTCCGCCATAAGTCGCTGATTGCCGCCATAAGTCGCTGATTGCCGCCATAAGTCGCTGATTGCCGCCATAAGTCGCTGATCGCCGCCATTATTAGTATAAAAAAAAACCCTAAAAATCCTAGTATCTTTCCCGCCATTTGTAAACGCTGTAACTTTCACGTAAACCAATTAATTTACACGTATTGGGTTTTTTTTTTTTTTAGCAAAGACATGTCGCAGAATGCATTTTGGCAGAAATTTATGACTAAATTAGATTTTTAAATTTTTTTTTACTGGACATGTTTTATAGCAAAAAGTCCAAAATATTGTTTTTTTTCCTCAAAATTGTCAGACTTTTTTTTTATAGCGCAAAAAATAAAAACCGCACAGGCGATCAAATATCACCGAAAGAAAGCTCAATTTGTGGGAAAAAAAAGGATGTAAATTTCATTTATGTACCGTATTGCATGACCGTGCAATTGTCCGTTAAAGTAGCGCAGCGCTGTATAGCAGAAAAATGGCGTAAATTGCAGTATTTATGCCATAGTTTGTAGACGCTATAACTTCCACACAAAGCAATCAATATACACTTATTGGGATTTTGCGTTTGCGGGGCGTTCGCTGAGTGGTAACACCATTTAAACTTCATTATAGGCGTTTGTGGGGCGTTTTTAATGCTCGGCAAACGCCTAGCAACCGCCGCTAAACCGCGCATGCGGCATTTGCCGAGCGTTAAAAAACGCTCCGCAAACGCCGGACCAATGCTTGCCAAGCGCTATAGGGGCGTTTGGCAAGCGTTGGTAAAACAGTCAAGTGTGAATGAGCTCTTAAGATACCTACTTGCCAGCCCCAGTCCACCACTGTATTCCACACAGCCAACTCTTCTCAGGGTTCCAGTTCCTCTAAACTGCCATCTTGGTTTTGGGAGCCAGTTGTTACTTTCCAATAACTTTTACCATAACAGCTTGATAAACAATATGTCCTTTTAGCAAGGAACATACATTCTACATTATACTTATGCTGCCAAAATTAGTATGTGCTGTAAATTGCCTGCAGCATTGCTCCTGCTTCTTCTTGGCTGCCATTTAGCTGAAGCCCAGAGCCCCTAAGCAGCAGTAAATCTTTAGTCTGTCAGCAGATCAGCCTCTACAAATTCAGCACAGTGCCTAATAATAGAGAGTAGCTGAGCATTTGCAGAGCAGGGTGAGACCACGTATTATGGGATTTTAAACAGCATAGGCACTTATTTTTAATGTTTTACATAGCTATACCTGCAAAAGGGGCCAGCATGAAGAGATCTAGCAAGACTTAAAGTGCTATTAAACCCAAGACCCTGCATTCACTGTATCTGGTCTCCCACAGTACACAGACATGCAATTAGTTTAATCATAAACTTTTAAATACCGTTTCTCATCAGCAATTAGAGCAGTCTGGTGACTTCTATCAGTGTCTAGGAGACCACATGTTAAAGCTTGTAGGAGGAGTTTTCATTCTGCTTTAGGAAGATGTAGAACCCCTGACCTCTGTGTGGACCGTGATGCTTGGCATTGTGCTGACACATGCCCTCTACCAAGAAAAAAAAAAAAGCCTCAATAGCAATACGCACCAAACTGAGCATGTGCAGAGTGTCTCTACACCATATGTCTTTTCAGGAGATAAGAGGGAGACCCTGAAAGAAGGGGGAGGATCAAAGGAGTAAGGATCAAACAGCTTTTTTGCACAATGCAGAGGATTAACCCCTTAGGTTCCACAGTGAGTATAACAAGCATGCTTTACTGCATCTGCAGACTGATTTTACTGTTGTGGGTTTAGTAACACTTTAATTTTCTGACTAAAGTTCCACTTAAACAGTATATGAATTATAAATAACATTTTTGTGTGTTACAATATATTATTATACAGGATTTATAAAGCGCCAACAGTTTGCTCAGCGCTTTACAATATAATACATGATAGACTGCTTAACAATACAGAGTGTAGGCTGTACTATTCACCCTATGAGGGTTAGAATTGGATCACACTATTTACAGAGAGTCCATACATTATTGTAATATATGCTGGAAATATGTGTGGGGTCTGACAAATGCTTTTAGCCTCATCTATTCAAAGAATAAGTGAGAATAAGTACCACTCTACCCCCCCCCCCCCCAAAAAAAAAAGCATAAATAAAAGTTCCCCAAATAAAAAAATCTGCTTCTTATTAGGTTGGGGGGGAGTTGGGAGAGAAGTAGCGAGGGGTGATATTTTTAAATTCTGTTTTGCTTGTGGTTTGTCAGTAGTTCTACCCCTTTTTTATACTGATGCCCGCAATTAAAAATCATTAGTGGATAGAACTATGCAGAATAATCTGGTAGCTTCACCACAAATAACTGATAATCCCATTTTTCTAGTAAAGGAAGAATACAGTGTGTAAAGTGGAGTTCATGTGCACTCACACTAGGCACTGAACTGAGTTCTCCCCTTCTCCCATTCCCCTCCCCTCTGCCCCACTAGGAACTGAGTCTGCACCCCTCACTAGGCACTGAGTTCTCTTGCTCCCATTCCCCTCTCCCCCACTGGTCTGCACTCACACTAGGCACTGAACTGAGTTCTCTTGCTCCCATTCCCCTCTCCCCCACTGGTCTGCACTCACTAAGCACTGAGTTCTCTTGCTCCCATTCCCCTCTCCCCCACTGGTCTGCACTCACTCTAGGCACTGAACTGAGTTCTCTTGCTCCCATTCCCCTCTCCCCCACTGGTCTGCACTCACACTAGGCACTGAACTGAGTTCTCTTGCTCCCATTCCTCTCTCCTCCACTGGTCTGCACTCACACTAGGCACTGAACTGAGTTCTCTTGCTCCCATTCCCCTCTCCCCCACTGGGCTATAAGCAGTATATCATCACTTTTGCCAACCATCCCGCTTCTGTGCTGTGTGATCTATGGAGAGATCTGCCCTCGGGTACGGTTTGCACTCAATGAAGTGAAGCAGAACCAGACCACAAGTGAAGACTGGAGCGCTCCACAGTTTGGAACACTCATACTTCACAAATTACCCAGACCAAGGGGGCGAACTTTGCCCGGCACATTTAAAACTACCGGTATGAGTGTACCCCTAGATTCCCCTCTACTGAGAGGCACCCAATACGGTGTGGGATCCTGGACCACATCATCTGCTGAGTGCAAGGGAAAAGGTGTAGGGTTCAGTAGGATTAAGGGATATTTATGGATGAAAAATGGACACCCATGTATTTCTATGGACTTGTGGATGTTGTCAGGAATGGACTCACCACTGGTGGTGCTGTGGCTCACTTGCTCTGTGGGCTGCAGTACCAGCTCCTACCAGAGGGTGCTTTCAGCAGCCAGGGTCTCACTCCTGCAATCAAGCCATCACCTGAGGCTGATTGCAGGAGGTCTATTTAAGCAGGACCAGGCCTGCAATCAGTGCCTTGGTGTTTGTTTCCCATGAGCCCCTGTACCTGGTATCCTGTGAATCTTTTGTTGCTGACCTCTGCATTGTTCCTGACCCTGCTGACCATCTCCTGTTTAACCCCTGGCTTGCCTGACCATCCTTCTGCCTGATCCTCTGTACCGCGTTGCCCGTGAGTTACTGAACCCGGCTTGTGACCCTGACCATTCTCTGCCTGCTCCTTCGGTACCTCGCTGCCCTCACGTTGCTGGCCTGCCTGACTGCGCCTTACGCTAACCAGACGATCCATCCATCCCGCATGGATCTGTTCCTGTTACCAGGTCTGCCAGCCTCTTCACGTCAGGCTCCTTTCCCCGCACACCTCTGACTACGCTCTCTACCATTGCCGAACGTACTCAGGGGTCATGACCTGGTCTCAGTCTGCTCCAAGTCCATCCCCACCATCAGGGGCCCTGGTGAATAAGCAGATTGGGACTTAGACCCGCGCCCTGAGGAACCCCGTGCTGTGGGCTGCTAGAGACGCTGCCAGGCGGTGCTTAACAGTACCAAGCGGCCTGCCTGACCATTCCACCTCTCCAGCCCTGGCTACACCTGTGTTCCCACACATTTCTGGTCATACCCGGATCCCTAACAGATGTAAACAGATGATCATCTGTTTACAACTGTTAATGTCCCAATATGTTAAGATCTGTTTTTTTTGAACAGAAGAAATCCCCATTTTTCTTCCATTAAAAAAAAAATGGAACGTACGAAAAACGGATGTAAACTGATCTGTTTTTTCTTGGAAAAAACGTGACTGAACTGATGAAAAAAACACAACGCCTGTGTGAAAGCGGCCTTACATGTTCCACCCATTTTATAATGGTGACACAAGTGGTGTGTTGTGGCGCCGTTCATTTTGGGCGGCACCTCATTGCAAAAGTGAAATAGGTGCCAATGGACACACAATGAAGTGCATATCCAGAACGCACATGTACTGCGTTGTGGGGCCTGACTTATAAAAGGAGCAGGTCTGTTTTTACCATGCTGTAGCAGTCCATTCTTGATGAAATATCTTGATGCAGCATGTTCAAGTGGTTCTAAAGCCTAAACATTTTTAATGCATTGTTTATATAAAGGTAAAACATGTCTATGCATTATGGCGCACTAAAGGGTAAGTGCGACGTGTCTCTGCTCAGATGCCTGGGGGTACCGTTAAAAACAAATGGCACTGCAACACACAGTACTGTTTTGTACGTTGCACAAGAGTATGAATTGTCTCTTAATAAATCAAATTATTCTCCAATTTTTTATAGCCTGATCAAATAAAAGCATGCTAAAAGTAAAATGTTTTTACTTGTATTTACCGTATTTTTCACTCCATAAGACGCACCTGACCATAAGACGCACCTAGGTTTTAGAGGCAGAAAACAGGAAAAAAAAATTTCTGAACTAATGGACTGCAGACATAGTACAGGAGATGACCAGAGACTGCGGACAGCACAGGGATGACCAGAGACTGCGGACAGCACAGGGATGACCAGAGACTGCGGACAGCACAGGGATGACCAGAGACTGCGGACAGCACAGGGATGACCAGAGACTGCGGACAGCACAGGGATGACCAGAGACTGCGGACAGCACAGGGATGACCAGAGACTGCGGACAGCACAGGGATGACCAGAGACTGCGGACAGCACAGGGATGACCAGAGACTGCGGACAGCACAGGGATGACCAGAGACTGCGGACAGCACAGGGATGACCAGAGACTGCGGACAGCACAGGGATGACCAGAGACTGCGGACAGCACAGGGATGACCAGAGACTGCGGACAGCACAGGAGATGACTGCAGACCTTTGGGGAGGGGGGGGGAGCGGGTACCCGCTCTTACTTCCGCGGAGTTGTTCTTTGATCTTACCTGTTCCTCTATCCAGCCACACGCTGTCTTCCCGGCTTCTGTAGTGTGGGCGCTGGGCATGACAGCTGGGTGCCCAGTGCGCATGAGCGAGAAGCACTTGCGCTTTGTGATTGGTCCGCCGGCTTCTGGGATCTGTTCATGTGTCCCAGGTACCGCCTTACCATTCACCACCGCTTCTTGCACATGCGCACTTGGCACCCGGCTGTCAAGCCCAGCGCCCACACTACAGAAGCCGGGAAGGCAGCGTGCCGCTGGATAGAGGAACAGGTAAGATCAAAGAACAACTCTGCGGAAGTAAGAGCGGGTACCTGTCAAATTCAGGTACCCGCTCCCCACCTCCCCAAAGGTCAGCAGTCATCTCCATGAGGTCCCACTGCAGAGCTGAGTGGCCGGCCCGATATTCTGACACGGCGGTGGTGGAAATACCGGACCGGCCGCTCCATATTCTCTCCATAAGACGCACTGACATTTCCCCCCCTTTTTTGGGGGAAAAAAGTGCGTCTTATGGAGCGAAAAATACGGTATATAGTACTGATAAATCTTGTAGCGCTTTACAGAATATTTAGATCTTTTTAGATCCGTCTCTGTCCTCTGTAGATGCATACACGTTGGTACCCACCAAACTCACAGACACTTCTGAGCAAGCTACTAATTCGGATTGTGGCAGAAAGTGGAATTTTGATGATGACCCATACAAGCTCCATTCAGATAGTGTCTTCCTTGCCCATTGCAGTCATTTAGGCTCCAACAGTGTAGCTCCAACTTTTCTTTTTGTACATAACCGGTCGCTATGCTGGACATGTATACATGCACTTTTATATTGCAGTGTCAGTTGGGTTACAATAGTAAAAACTGTTGAATGGTTAAATTTTGGAAATCCTGACTGAAGTGTTAGACACGGTTCATGCTACTGCGACTTTGCCAGGCAACGTTCTGGTGATTTGCTGGCGACCTGAGTATGTCTTCGATGTGACTTGATTCACGACTTTCATGCCATGCGACTTTGTAATCTTCTTGTAATGTTGTATCCAAATCACATCAATATAGATGAGGATCCGACTTGTAGACAAATTCCATTACATTCTATGGCAGGGGTCATCAAACTACGGCCCGCGGGCCACATGCGGCCCGCCGAGCACATTCATCCGGACCGTCGACAGGGGTGGGCAGTAGGGTGCCGTCTCTTACCTGGCACCGGTCCTAGTGCCACGACGATCCAGTTCATGATGCGCAGCTCCTTCACTCCGGCCGCTCCCTCACTCGATGTCTGCGCTGCCGCTCAACTCCGCCTCCTCACCGGTGATTGGGCGCCAGTATTGTAGCTCAGGAAAGGCACACAAGCGGCCAATCACCGGCGAGGAGGCGGAGCCGAGCGGCCCCACGAAAATCAAGGGAGGGAGAGGCCGAAGTGAAGGAAGGAGGACAGCTGACTGCCCGGTAAGTGTGCTGTGCAGATGGTACTGCTGCAACC